AAAAAAAAAAAAAAAAAACTGTTGGAGACATTAGCCATGCAGACAGCTGTCTGAAGGCCAGGGTCTCTGGTCTTTCTGTAATGGTAAGAGGAACCATAAAAAGTGAAGAAGCAATGATGCCCCACTAAAGTCATTATCAAATCTGCTCATTCATTCACTCAATAATTTTTTACTGCATGCCTGCCCCGTGAAATGTGCTATGTCAGACACTGTCAGGATCTAGACAGAGTGGCATCAATTCAAAGAACACCAAAGATCACTCTAAACCATGTTTTAGAGGAACAGTTGAAATAATCAAGGAAGACTAATCTGGAAATAAGAAGATTCTAGGAAAACATGAGAGTCCTCATGCCTAAATATTTAACCCTTCTGCTTGCAGAAAAGAGATTAGACTTGTTTTATACAGAACAACATACAAATAACATCAATGAGTGGCAATCAAAATCAGGAGAAGGAAATCACAGCAATACTAAGAAAGAACTTACTATCCAGAGCAATCTAAAAATAGAATGATCAAGTCAGATGTGATGGCTCACACCCATAATCCCAGCACTTTGGGAGGCTGAGGTGGGAGGACTGCTTGAGGCCAGGAGTTCAAGGATACAGAGAGCTATGACTTCACAACTGTACCCTAGCCTGGGCAATAACAAAATGAGACAGTCTAAAAAAAAAAAATAGAATGATCAAAGTATGATGTAGGCTGATAAAAATAAATAAATAAAAATAGAATGGACTGTTTTAGGAGGGACAGAAGCCTAACTAGCAATATTGGTACCAGGGACACTACATACTGTACCACATACTTCCGTCACTAGACATCCCATCCCTAAATGAGTCTTACTCTTGACACTGCTTCAAATCAAATCACTTATAATTCTATTACCCAAAGGCAAACACTGCTAACATACTGGCATTTTCTTTCTTTCAGGATTTTTTTTCTGTACACTTGTTTTTATCATAGTGAAATTGTACCACATATATAATTTTCTTTTTATTAAAAATTATTTCACTAGGCTATTTCATAGACTATCAATATTCACCAAATCTTTCCCTTATTGTTGAACATTTAGAGTTTAGTGGTAAAAGCAGCAGTTTTCAAAATACGCTACCTGGTTTGAATCTCACTGGCTGTGCAATCTTGAGAAAGTTACTTATTTTTTTGTGCCACAGTCACCTCATTTATAAAATGGGATTATACCTCAAAGTTGTTGTATAAAAGGAGATGCTATAGCCTAAATGTTTATGTCCCCCTAAAATTCACATGTTGAAATCCTAACATGTTGGTTTTAGGAAGTAAGGTCTTTTGAGAAGAACTTTAGGTCATGAGGGCTCAGCCCTCATGGGATTAGTGCCTTTATAAAATAGGCCCAAGGAAGCTCATTTGCTCCACCCACCATATGAGGACACAGTGAGAAGCCAGTATCTATGAATCAGGAAACAGCTTTTACCAGACACAGAATCTGCCAGCCCCTTGATCTTGGACTTCCCAGCCTCCAGAACTGTGAGAAATGTCTGTTATTTAAGCTATCCAGTCTACTATAATCCATTACATACAGCAACCTGAAAAGACTAAGATAGGACCCAAACCTAAGAATATATCTGAGGGTTGTTTGGACCTCTCTACAGCATCTATCAAATTTTGCCATCAACGTTTATTGAGCTTTTACTAGGTAATTTAATTCAATTCCCCAACAATTGAGGACCTAGTGTTAATATACAAGTCATCTTGCTATATGCTTGCTATGTGTGTAAGTATGAAAGGAAACATAGCTCCTGTCTTTGAGTCACTAATGGATCTTTGGGGACACGAGGCACACAGTTCTTTAACCTTACATAAGTGTGCTGTGCTGTGAATGTTAAGAGCTAAGCATTTATATCAGGCAGACCCAGTTCCGGGCCATTTTTGTCTCTTTCTTTGGGACACCTTGGGAAAATTACTTCATCTCTAAGCCTCAGTTTCCTCATCTATGTAATAAGGATATCATCTACTGAAAAGTACTCTAAGATTTGAAAAAGGTAATTCACACAAAACACTTAGCATAGTGTTTGGCACATCACAAATTTTAAAACAGAATCTTTATCAAGTAAACATTATTCAACTCCTAGTTGAGAGGCCAGACCACCTATCTACATCAGCCTTTTTACCACATACACACAGGACCAGGACTAGCTAGGGAGTGTCTCCCTTACATACATTCCCCAAAGCACTGCACATCTCTTACAGAATTTACACAGGACCATCACACTAGACCAGACCAACCCCAGCTCATCCAAGAGACTCTCATAACCAAATCAAACACATCTCACATCCTTGTTCACCTAAATCAACACCAAGTGTATAAGCTTCTCTCATCTTCATTCCCCATTTACATTTGCTCAGCTGACACAGCTTCTCACCCATCCTCATTACCTGGAACACAGCTCATTGCTTTACCACAAATCTTTCCTCCACTCTCAATCTCATCTTCCAACATACTTTCTACCTCATCGACTGAAATCTGGGTCTTTCCTTGATACTTTTGCAGCAAAGCTCCTTCCTTCGAAGGATGTACAATGTGTTCAGTAATGGTTTCAAAGAATTTGCAAAGATAGTTTAGCTGCAATCAGTTAAGACACTTTTTCCACTCCAGCTTCCCTTCTGTTACTTTCCCTTTTGTCAGATGAAATTGTAGTTACTGATTATATCTTTATCAGAGGCACACAATACAGTTGATCACTCACTGCTTAAAACTGATTCCTCACTTGGCATCTACTACACCACTGTCTTGGTTTTCCTCTTTTCTCAGTCTGCTTTGCTGAATCTTCATCTCCCCATCTATGAACCCTAAAGTAACCCAGAAACAGTCCTCTTCGTGTTTATTTGCTCCCCAGACTGTAGAACATAGATCATATGGTCATAGGATGTGATCTATATGAGACCATTCATATGCTAAGGACAACCAAAGTTGTATCTCCATTCCTAAGGTCCCCTAGATTCCAAATGAATTTATATTACTGCTTGAGAGTTTTACTTGGACATCTAATAGGTATCTCAAACTTAATATGTCCAAAACTTAACTTGATATTCTTCCCAAACCCAGTTTTTCAGTCCTACCTCACTAGCAATTCTATCCTTCTAGTTGCTCAGGCCAAAACCCTTGGAGCTATTTTTATTTCAGAATATTACAGGCGTACAAATGTTTTGGTTACCTGAATCGCTTTTGTACAGTCCGAGTCAAGGTTCTAAGTGTGGCCATCACTCAGATAGCATGCATTGTACTAGTTAGGTGTGAATTTACCCATCCCCGCCTACCCCCTCCCACTTGCTTGGTTTCCATTGAGTTTTACTTCCTTACATGTTATTCTTTACTCCTTCTCTCACATTCAACCATCCAACAAATCCTGTCATCTCACCCTTTAGAAGCCAGTCACTAACTCAACCACTCCCATCTACCCTAGTCCAATCCAAGGTAACTTGCCTAGACTATTGCAAACCCTTATTTCCACCCTGGCCTCACCAAAATCCATTATTTGGCTTGCAAATGCCAGTCAACTTTTAAGGCCAGACATGGTGGTTCACACCTGTAATTCCAGCTCTTTGGAAGGCTGGAGTGGGAGGATCCCTTGAGGCCAAAAGTTTGAGACCAGCCTGGACAACATTGAGGCCCTATCTCTAAAGTAATTGGCTGGGCGTGGTGATGCATACCTGTTGTCTATTTATGAATGTGAGTCAGGAGGCTCTCTTGACCCAGGAATTTAGTGTACAGTGAGCTATGATTGTGCCACTGAAGAGAGCATATCTAAGCTAGTCAACCTTTTTTTTTTTTTTGAGACAGAGTCTCACTTTGTTGCACAGGCTACAGTGAGTGCAGTGGCATCAGCCTAGCTCACAGCAACCTCAAACTCCTGGGCTCAAGCAATCCTCCTGCCTCAGCCTGCCAAGTAGCTGGGACTACAGGCATGCGCTACATGCCCGGCTAATTTTTTTTCTATATATATTAGTTGGCCAATTCCTTTCTATTTATGGTAGAGACAGGGTCTCGCTCTTGCTCAGGCTGGTTTGGAACTCCTGACCTCAAGCAATCCACCCGCCTCAGCCACCGTGAGTGCTAGGATTACAGGCGTGAGCAACCACGCACAGCCAAGCTAGTCAACTTTTGATAACCCAGTCATGGCATTCCTCTACCCACTCTCCAACTAGATGCTCATCTCACAGTATCTATGGCCTATAGGGCTAATACACAACTGACTTCCTGTTTCTCACTGGGCTCTAGCCATGACATTGCTGGCCCAAAAGGCTCTATCCAGGAACTCGCTTCCCCTCAGTCTCATGCTAGTCACTTGCACTACCATGATACTTCGCCTTTTACTGAGACCCTAAGTAAATGTCTTTCAACATCATGATTTCATCTTATACAACCTGCATCCCCACTCCAAAAACTCCAAAATGACTGCTTTTCTCTGAAAATATACATTTGCACACATTGACATATCTGTATAATCACTGTTCCCTTCCATATGTGAGGACTTTTCAAGCTTTCACCTGTGAAATGTCCCAAAAGCAAGGACTACTATATAATCTCTGAACAACTTCCTCTTCCCAGTGCAAGTTTTAGTGATAGTCTTCTTTCACAAAATCCTTTCTCAACAATTTTTAACCCTTTGCACTCGCTTGCTTTTTTTCTCATCATCCACTCAACATTATCCACACTGGACATCCAAGTGCAAAGGGTTAACCCAGCTCACTGTTATGAGTCAATTACTCATCAGAATATGTGTCTCAGGTTATATACTGGATGCTCCTGTATATGGCAGAATTTTCCATTAAAAAAAAACATGTTTTTCAAAGTATCAAAATAAAATTGACATTTATAAGAGTTCAGCATGAATATTTTTATGTAACTGAGGGGGAAAGCCACATATTTTAAAGACAAATTCATTAAGAAATAAAAAATAAATTTTAAAAGATATCTATAACCAATTACCTATTCCAGTCACATTAAAACACTGAACAAACAAACTGGAGTTTCTTTTAAATTTTATTTTATATACAAAGAGCTACTAGCATGGTCTCTTTCACTTTGTGGGTGCCGTGGAAAATCCATTCAAAGAAGATCACTTAGTCCAACTGGAAAAAAAAAGCAGATAGGAAATGAATTATTTTAAAAAGCTTTAAAATCTCAGCTTCTAACAAAAATGGGTTCGACATAGAATACTGTTTAAACTAGAAATGTGACCTACCCAAACTAACAACAAGATCTATGTCATTTAAATATTTACTGAATGCCTGCTACAAGCTGCTCCACAAACCTAATACATTTTAGACTATAATTTTTAGTACTGGTATGCCCACTTCATCCCCCAAAGAAATATTTCCCAAAACAAAACACTACTACATAAAAGAATCTTCACCAAATGCTCAAGATAGTTATTAAGTAGGTAACAATAATTACAATTAACCTTAGCCTGAGAAACTAGGGACACAGAGCCAGTAAGCTCATTCTCTCATCTGTGATATTCTACCTCCCACTGAGTTATGTGAATATCCGCATTGTAACACCGGGCTCACAATGATGAAGTATTTGGCCAGCACTGAGCTTAAATATACTCTCTCTCTGCCACACCAGAGATCTTATTAACAATTTACATCACTATAATAAACCAACACAAAAACATCTATTTTTAACAAGTAGGTTCTCCCCAATACCCTATACGAAATAATTAGGAATCAGCTGGTGATTTTCTGAAAGAGCCAGTATTAAATTAGTTTTCACCTTCTAGAAAACCTATTTTAAATACTTTTTAGCAGCCAAGAAAACTTCATACAAATATTAACTTGATCAAGGTCATAAACTATCAAATGGCAGGCCCCTCTTTGCTGAATCCTAACAAAGCCTATCCCTAAACCTCCAGTTCATTCCAGTATATGAGACCAGCAAACATATCGGGTCAGTGGTTAACACATATATTTAGTTTAAAAATGTCTAGATAAATGAGATGTAAAATTTAACTTAGTGGCTTCTGTAAAGTGAATAATTTTATCCAACATAATACATGGGACCTAAAACTGGCAGAGCAGAGTAAAATGGGGCTAGGCTAAAAAGGCCAAGTTTCAAGTCAAGTCCTTCACCCTCCCCATTCTATTAATCTGAATGCCCAAACCCTCAACAGTGTCCCCGGCTACCGACAGCCCTACCAACTAAAACAGAGGAAAGGTCTCGCTCGAAAGCTCACACTAAGAGCTATCACCACATTCTCTGCCCACTGGAACACGGGAGTATGGCGTCTAGGGACGGTACCTTAATGAAACCGATGTCCTTCGCGTACTGACGGAAACACTGGCGGCACATATTGAGGCCGTATTTCCGGATCAGACCGTGCCGGTTTGAGCAGACGCGACTGTAAAAGAGACAGCGTTTTTGCAAGTCGCAGAAATTACATGATTCCACACTCAGAGGGCCACCCCCCCTCCCGGTTTTCCCGGACCCATCAGAGGTCTGTAATGGCGGCACTAAGAGCTCGGATTCGGTCTCTCCGCACGCGCTGCCCGCGAGCTCCTCTAATTGAGATTTTAAGCACCCTCGCACTCCAGAGAAACCCTTTCCTAAAACCACAATCTATTTCTCACCAAGAACGAGAACCCTGGCCGAATTTTCGCGGGTGGCTCCAATAGAGCTGCTGGTGACCCATCTTGCTCTCAGGAGGGCAACGAGGCAAAAGGAAGGATCCCGCGCGCGCATGCGCTCTTCAAATTTTCAGGACACAGTTTACCCAGAATGCCGTGCTAAAAGGTGACGCGTGCGCAATGCGGCAGTGTTGTTTCAGTGGGTGAGTGGAGCGAACTACTGGAAACGTTCTAGGCCGGCACCGTTGATGACGTCACCGCACCACAACCTCTAGTGGTGTCTTGCGCTGCTATTTCACCGCCGGACGCGGTGGCGCGCGCCTGTAGTCCCAGCTACCCGGGAGGCTGAGGCAGGAGGATCGCTTGAGTCCAGGAGTTCTGGGCTGTAGTGCGCTATGCCGATCGGGTGTCCGCACTAAGTTCGGCATCAATATGGTGACCTCCCGGGAGCGGGGGACCACCAGGTTGCCTAAGGAGGGGTGAACCGGCCCAGGTCGGAAACGGAGCAGGTCAAAACTCCCGTGCTGATCAGTAGTGGGATCGCGCCTGTGAATAGCCACTGCACTCCAGCCTGGGCAACATAGCGAGACCCCGTCTCTTTTGAAAAATAAGGAAGCGAAGTTTGAAATTTGAAGAAAAGAATGATCTTACAAGCTCCTGTCAACCACATCTTTTATATTCCTTTAATTAAAATTTTACACTTGGAAGAGAATTTTCCCTCAACCCACAGTGACACCTACTGGAATAAACTTACAAAACAACCTAAATCAGCTGCAGTAATTACAAGTCAACGGTAGGAGTTTCCCTGTATTTTGTTAAACAGAATGCGTTTTCAAATTGATTTTTTAAATTGACACACTTTAACAAATACAGCTACACCATTCCAGAAAGAAAGAAAAGAAAACGATTGGAGGTTCTTTGGCTCTTAGTGTATTTGATACTTAAATGCAACTCGCTGAATTTAAAATGATAAAAATAAAACAGTGAGAAACAAGTAATGTGTAAGATGTTTTGCTTTGACCAGAAAATTTGATGACAAAACAACTAACGAAAACTGAGTGCCAAAAACCAAATCTCTGCTGAAAAATGTCCAGATGCTACATGGTCATTTATAATGCCTCTAGATAAACCTAAAATTGTACATGGCTCTTAAAGCTTTAACTAGATTTATGAAATATTAGCACAAGGTGCAATAATTGAGGAAAATTTTACACATAAATTCTTCTATTAGAACTGAAAGACAACACTTTTAGGTATGTTATTTCAGTTTTCTGGTGAAGTCCCCTTACCCAATCATTAACTTAGGCACTGTGTGATATGATTAAAGGAGGCTAGTCAGAGATTTAAAACCCCTTTATGATTTGATCTCTGCCCTCAAAATTTGGTTATCTAGTGTGCAGAGCAGGGTTATCTCCCAGAGCTCTTTCTTTCAGTTTCAACTTTCATGCCCAGACAATCTGTATACAACTAAGTAAGCAGAATATTCTGTTTTCAGTGATGGATGTGCTTATGAAGTATGAGAATAAATAGAAATTAATTTTAAATTGAAGTACAGTTGAGGGAACTTTGAGTATAAATCTTATTTGTGAATTTAAGTACATTGGAATAATTTTCATTTTAAGGTTATTATTCAAGATGTCTCCCATTTTCTTCCTCAGATTATTCTTAGACTGATCTGTGATCATATATCCAGAATTTAGTCATTTAAAAACCTGCATCTCTTTTGAGTTACCTTCAAGTTCACAACCTTTAAGAACACAATCATACTTTTTCTCTAAACTTTAAAAAATGTATTATACCATAAACAAAGTCTAAGACATATGTTTTGCATGTTTGGCTATTGCAATAATATGTAAACTTCAATATTATCCCCCAGTTCTTTCCTGTTGGTCAGAATTAGGTCTTTAATTATTTGATTAATCCTTCAAAAAAGCCCAGTGTTTAACAGTGTGTATGTGTATGTATCCATATCCATTCCAGCAAATATTAATATTTTAATTGTATATATTTTAAAGTAAAACATAGATACATATATGTATAATATATTTTTTGAAGGAAGTCTTTCTCCAACCCCAGACTCCTATTTATTTCCCCAATCTCCCTGCCCAAACCAACAAGCTATCAGTTTTTAGAAGGGTGCTAAAGAAATATTCTATCTTTGCATCCACTGAAGTAGAAGTAAAAGGGGGGAAAAAAAGAATTATTATTCTATCTATATATACACACAAGTGTGCACATATATACGCATGTATACATATATATGTATATATGTGTGTATACATATACTGGTATTTATATTTTTATATGCTATTAATTATATCTCTTTTCATTTATACAACAAAAGCATACCATACTCAATGTTTCCCACAAATAAATAGCTTATAAAGCATCTTAAACGGTATAAAAGTTATGATGAAATACACAGCAAAACAGGTAATGAAGGTGAATTAAAACATCCTTGGTTGAACATTTTTTTGCATACTTAAATTATATCTATAGGTAGATAGATATAGATATATAGAGATAATAAAATAAGTCTATAAAATAAGATTTTATAAAAGTATGTCAGTATCTATAGACATAGATATATATAATAAAGTATGTCTATAAAATAGCATTCTCAGACCAGGCACAGTATCTCATGCCTGTAATCCTAGCACTTTGGGAGGCTGAGGCAGGCAAATTGCTTGAGCCCATGAGTTCAAGGTTACAGTAAGCGATGATCCTGCCACTCCAGCCTGAGTGACAGAGCAAGACCCTGTCTCTATGAAAATAAATAAGTAAATAAACAAACAAACAAAATAAAATAGCATTCTGACAATGGAGCTACTAGTCCAAAGAATATGAGCTTTTATAGATATTTATAACTTTCCCTGTAGAAATTATATTAATAACAATTCAGACTCATACCCATATAGAGTACCTGTTTCCCACAAGCTCTCAACAGTATAAATTAGCAAACTTTTTAAAATTTGTCATTCACATAGCCTACAATTGGTAAGTGTTGTTTTAGTTTGATTTTTGATAAGGCTGAGTATATTTCCCTGTGTTTATAAGCCAGACATATACTTTTATCTGGGAACTTCTTTGAGTCCCCAGCCCACTTTCTTAATGTATTGCTGATGTGTAGTTTATCTATTTGTACTTAACATGTAAGGAAATACACCTTTGACCTCCATAATAGTTGCATAGTTATTTTATTCATCACCATCTCAGATTCTTACTTATTTCTTTAATTTGCTTATGACATACTTTTCCATACAAAAAGTTTTAACATCTATGTATTAAAATTTATGAACTTGTTGCATTACTCCTTTTAGATTTTGCATCAAAATTCTTAAAAACTTATGTGTTTTTCCTGTGCTATTTTGACATTTCCATTTTTATTTTAAATCTTGAATCCACCTAAAATTTATTTCACTGTCCCCTGCAGGAAAAGGGGAGAAATCCAGCTTTTTTCCCCTCCCATATGGCTAGCTAATTACCCCAACACAAGCAATATTAATTGAATGTATGATTGCTCCATTCTAGGACAATGCAGGCTTTCATAAATATTTGTTAAATGAATAAGCTAAAAGCAAAATTTGTTTATTCTTTCTACAAATATGCATTGAGTACCTACTGTATGTAAATACTATGCTAGACCTTCTATATAATAGTAGTGACTCAGACTCCAGGAAGCTTGCCATCTAGAGGTAAAGATAGGCATATAAGTAAGCGTACAACAGTATTTTGGACATGATAACCTAAAATTCCTCTTGCTGAGAAGACCCAAATATGATGGATGAAATATCACATGTTTTAAAATGCAGAGTTTAGCTCTGAGAAAGGGGAATCCCAAGGACCAGCTACTAAGTAGGAACTGAAAAACCACAAAGGCTGCCCTGGAGCAATTTGTCTTGCTGGGTAAAGGACCTGGATTCCAAAGGAAGCAACAGACAAGCCTTTGGGCAACTATATTTAATCAAATTGTCAAGAGTGGAAATCCATAAAGGTTTTTGGGAGAAATTAAATGCAGCATCTGAGACCTGAGTTCTAGCCCTGTTTATTCTAACACTGTGAGGTAATGGGCAGATACTATAACTTTACTCTTTTAATTCCATTCCCTCTTGTGTAAAAGGAGAGAATTGAAGAAGAATATCTGTAAACTGTGTTTCAGCTCCAAAACTTTAGGATTCTATAGCAGGAGATCCCTCTAGAAATTTTACTGGGCTGCAGTGTGAATGGTAGATTATTACATTACCTGCCTAACTGATATCCCTGCCTCCAGGTTTGCTCTACCACCAATGTAACCTCTTTACTGACCACAAGAACTTTCCTGAACATGTGTGAATTTATTCCTGCTTAAAATTTTTTAAAGATTTTCCAGAACTTTCAGGTTAAAGTCCAAAGGCCTTGGTTTAGCAAACAAATTATTTCATCATCTGGCTATTTTATTTATACTCCTTTAAGGCTTCACCAAACATTTATCCCATTATAGTGTAATAGTTGGTTTACTTCTCTTCTAAGCACTGTAAACTCATCTTTGCCTTCTAATCATTTAACATAGCTGCTAGCATACAACAAGAACACAATAAATATTAAATGAATGAATAAATGTATTGAAGCAAGAAGACCTGGTAAGTTTAGCAAGAGAGAAGTAACACAGCTCTGAATTGACGTAGTAGTTCTAAGAATCAAAAGGTGAGTATTAATTAGGAAATCATACTAGAAACACAAGTTGATCAAAGAATGTCATCAAAGAAAAGTAGCCCACTACAGAGCTTTGAAAGTTACAGATGCCAGGATGAAATAACTTTTGTCAGACAAATACAGCCAGTAAGGCACAAAGGAGGGGGGCTTACATTTGTATGTTTAGGATAAGAACTGTTTCCAAGGACTTCCTAAAAACCCCACAAGAAATCCCTTCATGTCCTTCATACATCTCTAGCTTTACACAGCTTGCACGTTTCAGACATATATATATATTATTTCTATGACAAGGTTTATTATTATCATTCTTTAGGACTACAGAAATTCAGATAAGATGCTCTTAAAAGAACACTTGCCCAGTAACAGCATATTCACCAATGCACTGATGACAATTCTGGCTTTGAGCCTCTGGAACCAATGAACTCTGTTTCTTGAAAATTTATGTGAACTTCTCCT